GTTCCACGGGTACCTAATAGCTATGAAACTCTCTGGATAGGTCATTGGCCTTCAGTTTCCTCCTCTGTGAAATGAGGGGCTTCACCTTTAAGACCTCCAGAGTCCCCTCCAGGTCTAACTCTGCGATCCTATAAACTCATTTTACCAACGATGAAAAACAGAGGCCCAAAGACATTGTGATTTGTCCAATATCACACAAGTGCTAAGTCTAACACCTGAAAATTCAAACCCAATTTCTCTGATTCCAAATCTTGTGTTCTTTCTACTATCTTCCATCAGTACAGTAACAATGCCCCACATTATATATTTTGATCCCCACCTAACACTCTAACTCAATCACCTTTGAATTTGCCAGAACAAATCTCAGAATTAGACCTCAGAAACCACCATGGAACCCCAAACACCCCAGATCACCCAGCCTTTCCTTGAAGACATAGAGGGAGTTTGGAGAACTTCAGGACCTCCTGAGGTACCCCAATCCCCTCATGGCTAGCTCAAACTGTTTGCCACAACTGCCTATTTCTCTCTAGGGTTAAACAGGACAAACTCTAATTCCTCTTCCACATTTATATCAAAAATAGTTATCACGTTGTCACTAAATCTTCTCTTCCCAGGCTCAACACCCCTTTTTAACTCAGCTGATCCTCTGAGGCAAGATCTTGGTTTTCCAATCTTCACATTCTAGCGATCACCACCAGTGGCTCAACAATCATGTGTGTTAGTTCTTTCAGTACTTGAAAATGTTGTGAATCTCGGCCTGGTGACTTGAAATGGTCAAGGCCAGCTAGGTAATTTCTTACTGCTTCCATTACTATCTTGGATATTAACTTTTGTCCTATTCTTTCTGGCCCAAGTATCACCCCGCTTGGCAGAGAAAACAGGAACAGTAAGCCTTCTTTTGGTCAGTAGTTAACATGGTCCCATATCCAACTGGAGTAGGAGTTCTCCTATTCCTTCTGTGATCCTCTTCTTTAATAGGGACTTAAAAAACCCACCCTTCTGGTTGTCCGTGGTCTTCCTCACCACCTTCAATTTTGAGTCCTGAGCTTCAGCACCCCACTTCTCAGCCGAGATTCTGCCAGGCCTTTGTATTCATGCTTGGTCATACAGCCTGGCTTCCTTCTTCTCTACTGCCCTTCAAAAATGCCAGTTTTTCAGTAAGTTTCCCATGCAGAGAGCTTCCACTATTCTGCCTCACTGGAATTACTTCTGTTCTTGGAATTGCATTTTTAAGAGCTTCTCCTAAATAACTTCAGGTCATGGGATTCTACCTTTTTTCCGAACTCTTTGAAAGATGCTCCCAAAATGCAGGCTGCTGTCGAATGCTTCCTGGCTTTCCTCAAGTTCTCCATCTCAGCTTCTAAGATGCAGCAGTCGCTCCCTCCCAAGCAAGGTTCTCATCATTTGCACTCCAGCCCTCATTTTTTCTCTGGGTCCTATTCTCTAGCTGTTACTCCTCCTTTTTCTGGAATCTTGGCAGAAGAACACTGAAGAACAGGATCCGGGACACCAAAGATTGGCTGGGGAGGCGAGTAAGAAAACCCTGGCAAAGCGGCATCAACGCATCCATTCTCTTCAGGGAGAGCTCATTCATGTTCAGCCTCTGAAGAAAGTCAGACAAAGACAAAGGTCCCGTGCACATGAAATATTTACATGTTTATTAAATAGTAAATATTTATAGCATCAAAGAGGAAGAAAAATGGGTCCCTATCGACTGGGAAACGGCTTAACAAATTCTGGCGTCCTAATGGGATGAAATGCTGCTGCCCTACAGAAAATGATAAACGTAAAAAACACAAAGGAAGAGTTGCATACATTGATGAAAAACAGACAAGGCAGAACCAAGAAGTAACTTAGATGATGAATGTAATATTATAAAGGAAGACACCTGAAAGACTTCAAAATCGTGATCAATGCAGCGATCAAACCATTACTTTAAAGCAGTGTTGTCAGACTCAAATAGAAATGGATCTCTATGGCTGTACGTGGAAAACCCCACAGTTACATTACCCGTGTCTTACTGTTTTTATTCATTTTGTTAAACATTCTCAATTACATTTTAATTTGGTTCAGGCTGGGCAGAGAGTTTGACACCTCTGCTCAAAAGAAGTGACAGTGAAGAATGCCTCTCACTTGTTTGCAAAAGCCATGGATTAACCCTGGGGAGTGAGGCTCACATTATTAGACATGGATTAATATGACAATTTGTTTAAAGATTTTACTTTAGGGTTTTACTGGTGGGAGTCAAGCACTGGGGAGTGACAGCAATGTAAAAAAAAAAAAAGAATAAAACCCTTTTTAAAAAATGCATATTTAATCCATTTATCTTATTCTTTCTCCCTCCTTATTACTATCATCTGACCTGTAAGGGCCTAGATCCCAACTTTCTCAATGGTTTTAATGTCTGTCTCATGATCTTCTATTTACTTCCACCACACCTCCGTTCTTATAAATGTCAAGATGCAGGGAACAGCAGACAGTGTGACATAGAGGAGAATCAGAGACAGGCTTGGCTAGAATCCTGGCTTTGCCACTAACTTCCCATTGGACCTTAGACAAGATGCTTTTTTCTCTGGATTCCAGCTTCCTTATCTGTAGGATGAAGGGTTTGGACTAGAAGACCCCTAAGGCATCTGGCAACTCTTAATCTATGCTCCTATACTGACCACCATTCTAACCACACAATTCTTTAACTTATCAATAAATAACAAAAATAAACCTTATAAATAAATTTTATTTTTTATTGTGAATTTAATCACAATAAATTTAATAAAAATTTTAATCACAAATAATTTAATAAAGACAAACACTTCAGTATACAAAGAAGAAAGAGTCTTGTATAAGAAACAGTTTGTTACATATAATTTGTTTTTTCTAAGTATGTATATACTTCAGGGTAGTTAGGTAGTACAGTGGATAGAGAATGGGTCCTGGAGTCAGAAAGACTCAGCTTCCTGAGTTCAACTCTGGCCCCAGACACTTACAAACCGTGTGACCCTGGACAACCCTGTCTGCTTCAGTCTCCTCATCTACGAAATGAGCTGGAGAAGGAAATGGCAAACCACTCCAGTATTTCTGCCAAGAAAACCCCACATGGGGTCTCAGAGAGTCAGACAGGACTGAAAACAACTCAACAACAAACTGCATACACTTATTAAATGTAACAAGGTAGTTTTTTTTTTTATTTTTCACTTTCTTCTCTCATTTGTGTCTGAAAACCATGTTGCAGGTGGCTACACTTTACTGCCTTGAAATTCAGAAGCATTTCTAGAATCCCCTTGCACCATCCTCCGGCCCCTCAAGCTCCCAACGTAGGAGTCAGCCTCAACTCACTGGCAGTCCTCATATTCAGTCACTTACCAAGGCCTGTCGATTTTACCTTTGCAACATCTCTTGCATATGCCCCTTTCTCTCCTCTGATGCTGACACCTCAGGTCTGGATTATTACAATAGCCTGATGGTGGGTCTGCCTGCCTCAAGTCTCTGCCCACTCCAATTCATCTTCCATCCAACTGCCAAAGAGATCTTCCTAAAGAACAGATCCGACCATGGCATCGTCCCTTTCAAATTCCAATGTTTCCGTATCACCTTCGAGATCAAATATAAAACCCTCTCCTTGTCATTCAAAGCCCTTCACCACCTGACTCCTCTCTAGCCCGTCCAATCATTTGGCACCCTAGTCCACCCAACCTCCAACATCCTCTGTGATCCATTAAGCCTGCCCTTCTGGGGTTCCTCACACAGCACACTCCATCTCCTGACTGTGTATTTTTAGTGGCTCTTTCCCATGCCTGAAAATCTCTGCTTCCTGGCTTCCCTGGCTTTCTTCACGTCCCAGCTAAGATCCCATCTTCTACATGAAGCCTTTCCTGTTGCCTTCCAATTTATTCTTTATATATCTTGTTTGTACGTAGCTATTTTCATGTTGTCTCTTTTATTAAACTGTTGGCTCCTTGAGAGAAGAGACTGTTCCTTCCCTTTCTTTGCATCCCCAGCACTTAGCACAGTGCCTGGCCCTTAGCAGGCCCTTAATAAATGTTTACTGGCTAACAGTAACAAAACTCCTCTGTGTCTTTGTACTTTTTTTTTTTGCTTCTTGGATTTTAAAAGTGTTTTCCTAATGATTTTTTTTTGCACATCCTTCTCTACACACTAACCTACTTCTCCAATTCTCAAAATTTCTTAGCATTATCACCCTCTCTCTCCTCCTTCCATGTTGCTGGAGGGAAGAGATATCACTAGTCTTTGAAAAGGCTAATTCCTAGTCTACCTGAATCCTAGATCCTATCCTCTTCTACCTCCTCTAAGACCACGTTCCAGCAATCATCCTGCCCTTCTCACTATCTTCATTATCTTCCTCTCCATAACTCTTCCCATGGGTCTAAAAATGCTCAAATTTCAGCAATCCTTTTAAAACAAAAAAGGTTTCCTTGAATTCTAACCATCTCATCTCTTTTCTCCTCTGCTGCTAAACACCATGAAAAAATTATCTCAAACTAATTCCTCACCACCTTGCGGTATGTCTTCTACCCCCTCCCCTGAGAGCATTCGCTCCAAGGTTCTCTCTTAATCACCAAGGCCAATGGCCATTTTAATTTCCTGACCCTCCCTGGTTTCTCTGTAGCATCTGGCACATGGACTATCATCTCCTTCAAATATGCTATTCTGAAAATTATTTCCGACATACCACATCATTCTAGTTTTCCTTCTATCCCTTTTCACTGTTTCTCCTCTAGCTTCTTACCCTCTTCCCAACCTCTTAATGGATTGATGTTCTCTGGAGTTCTGAATTTGGCCTCCTTTTCTCTCTCAACTCTCTCCCTTGGCAATCTCATGTTAACCTAGATGATTCCCAGATCCAGAATTCCAGTCCTGCCCTCTTTTCTGAGCTCTAGGTGTGGTGCAATGGGAAAAACACAGGATTTTGAGTCAGAGGAGCTAGATTTGAATTGCGACTGCCATGTACTGTACGATCTTAGTAGGCAGGTCAGTTTCCTCACCTGAAGAGGGCGCTGGACAAGACAACAGCTCTTCTCTCCATCCTCCTGCTCTTAGTGACCGCATCATTCATTATCATCGCCAAGGAGAGGACTCAGATTTATGGTCTCTCCCCAGTGCTTGAGTCCCACACCATCAGCAGCCTTGAGGACATTTCAAACTGGCTGTACCTGAAACATCTCAAACTTAAAATGCCCAAAATGGAAATCTATTCCCCGCCCCCCAAAACTCAGCTCTTTTTCACACTTCCCTGTTTCTGTCAAAGGCACACTTATTGTTTTCATTTCCCAGGTTTGTCCCTTCTCTCCCTCACCATACACATACAATCAGTAGCCAAATCTTCACATTTCTCCCTCCATGCATCTCTCCCATCTCAGCTTCTCATCATCTCAGTTCTGGCTTTCAGCACATCTGGCCTAGACCATTGTGGTCATCTACTGCTGACTCCCCAGAGTCTCCTCCTCCTCCTCCAGTACATCCCCACCAACCCAGGTCCTACCTTGTCATTCCCCTACCCCATCAGATCCAGGAGGGCCCTACTGTCCCTAGATCAAAATAGAAAGTTCTCTGTTTAGCTTTTAAAGCCCTTCACTACCTGGTCCCAATAGATATTTCCAGCCTCACTATACATGACTCTCCTTCTATCCCTCTACAGTCCACCCAAACTGACTGCCTTTCCTCTTCACACACAATGCTCAATCTCTAGTCCCCCCTACCTGGAATGTGCACCCTTCTCTCCTCTGCCTTACCCATTCCCTCTCTTCCTTCACAATGAAGGAAGCACATGAAACCCTTCCTGATCCCCCTCACGCTAGTGAGCTCCCCAATTACTTGTATTTAATGACTTTAAATTGCTTGACTGAACTAAGATTCCTCCAAGACCAACATATATTCCTATTCAATTCAACAAGTACATGGTGGCTGGGTGCCAAGATGCTTTCAAGGAAGGACATAGCATGTATACAGATGATATAAGGTGATGTAGTGACTGGCGCAAAGAAATTCAGACAATGTGCTCTAAGGATATCTGAGAAGGTAGAAAACACTTTTAGGTGAGCAAGTCAGCAAAGGCCTCCCAGAGAACACGGCACCTTAGCTGAGTCTTCAAGACAGATGAAGATTCTGAACGGTGGGGTTGGAGAAAATTAGCACACAAAGTCAGTAACACCAAGAGCCTATCTTCAAAAGGTAAGTGCTTAAGGATATGTGTAATTTTCAAATAAGAACTGAAAATTCGAAGTAGTTACATGAAAACATTCTTGAAATCCCTAATAGGAAGAAAAACATACATTAAAACAGCCATGAGATTTTGCCTCACAGTGCAAAAATGACAAAAGATGGCAGCAATCAGTGCTGGAGGGCTTGGGTGAAGCCATACACACTTACGGACTACTGTTCAGGCTGTGAAGTGGTCTAGTCATTTTAAATATCACTTTGCAATTGTGAAAGAAAAAATGACTGAACTGTTCACACCCTTTGATTCACAGATGCCACTCCTAAGCACATATCTCAAGTAAGTCAAAGTCAGAAACAAAGGTCCAACAGATAGTAAAATTATTCACAGCAAATGCCTTCTGTGGTAGGAAATAATGGAAAAATAAAATGGAGGCCCACCAAATGATGAATGGCCAAAAACAAAAAACTATGGTAATATGAATGTCATAGAATATTACTGTGCAGCAATAGATGACAAAAGTTATTTAGAGAAAGATGGGGAGGTCCCTGTGAACAGATGCTGGGAGAAATAAGCAGAAGACAACAATATAAGCAAAACAACATCACACAAAGACAAAGCCAATTAACAAGCATGTATTAAACGCCATGTGTCAAGCTCTGTAGGAGGTGCTGGGGACATAAAGACAAGAAGGAAACCGTCCCTGGCTTCCCACTCTGTTGGGAAAAACATGTATGTGCCTGAGTAACTACCAATGACATATCAGGTAAACATGAAGTAATCTCAGGAGGGCACCAGTCAGGGCCTTGAGGGCACTACTGTTCTGGTAGCAGTAAGAAGGCTGGGGGGGGGGTGGTGAAAGAATCATTAGGAAGCACATGGCAGTGAGTGCCCTCACAAAGGCAGAGGTCGTGAATAGAATGGAGAAAGACGTTATCAAAAAAACTTGGCAACTAACGGGACGTGAGAAATAAGGGAGAGGGAAAGGTCAAAGTGCACACTGAGATTCTGAATCTGTGAAACTGGGGCCAGGGACACAAATACTAAAGTCAGAGGGAGGAACAGATTTAAGAAGTTAATAAGTTGAATTTGGGCCAAGCTGAGTTTTAAGTGTTGGTGGGACATCCAGGTAAAAAAGTTCTAGAGCCAAATGGAGATGTAGGTCTGGAGCTCAGACTCAGAAGGATCAGGACTGGAAACCCAGATAAACTGGAATCAGACTTTAAAGGGCCTTAAATGCTGGACTAAAGAATGCGTATGTTATAGTAGATGTAGTAGCAGGTCACTGGAAGTGCCTGGACGTGAAAAAAATATGATCAGAACTGTGCCTTAGTAAAATTATTTTAGTAGCTACACAGAGAATGAAGAAAGAGATTTGAAGTATGAAAATCAATTAGAAGGCTACTGTAATAGTCAAGTGATGATAAGGGCCTGAACTAAAGTAGTAGCATTGCGAATGGAGAGGAAAGGACAGATGGAAAGATGTATGAAGGAACATTTTATAGGACTAGGTCAACTGATCTGACTATCCAGGGCAGGGGTGGGAACATGCGGCCTCGAAACCACGAGTGGCCCTCTAGGTCCTCAAGTGCAGCCCTTTGACCGAACCCAAACTTCACAGAACAAATCCCCTTAATAAAAGGATTAATTCTGTAAAACTTGGACTCAGTCAAAAGGCTGAACCCAAGGACCTAGAAGGCCGCATGTGGCCTGGAAGCCACAGATTTCCCCACCCCCACCAGCCCAGACAGCTGGAGATCTGGGGATTGGGGAAAGTAAAAGGTCAAATATGAATCCAGGATTTTGAATCTTCATTAGTGGTGAATATTGGTGCCATTAATTGAAAGGTGAAAGTTTCAAGGTGGGTTGGATGGGAGAGGAGGGGGGAGTGAGAAGGGGAGGAAAAGAACATGTTGAGTTTAAGGTGGTGGCAGGCCATCCAGATAGATCTATACAACAGGCAGCTGGAGAAGTGGGAAGGGAGTTCAGCAGAGATTAGGGCTGGATATAGTATGACCTTGGATAAAAGTAAGTCACCATCTTTCTGGGCCTCATGAAATGAGGAGGTTTGACTAGTTTTGAGTCATTTGCTAATTCGATAAGAGTGACACCTGTACCTTTATCAATGACGTGGATAAGGAATAGAAGGCCTGCTTAACAAGTCTGCAGATGACACAAGGCTGGGAGGGAAAGCTAACAGAGTGGAAGAAAGAGTCAGAATCCAAAAGGATCTGGGGGGTGAACGGGGCTGCATGGTCAAGAAGAGTGAGTAGTCATGTAGCAAAAAGAAAGTAAATATAATCTCAGGATACACTGAGAGAGAAATGGTTTCCAGAAAGAGAGACAATAACCTCTCTGTGCTCTGTCCCGGTCAGACGTCATCTCTGTGAAGTTCTGGCACCATGATTCCAGGATACTGATGAGCTGGGGTATCTGGAGGAGGGCAGCTGGGGATGGCGAAGGGACCTGAGTCCACACCTCATACAGACTGGTTGAAGAAACTGGAGATTGCTGAGTTTGAAGAAAAGACGACTCGGAACATGACAGCTGCCTCCTAGTATCTGAGGGCTGTCACATGCAGGAGATACTAGACTTATTCTATCTGCTTCCAGAGGCAGCACCAGTGGAAACCATTTAGGCTCCTTCCTCACAATTACAGCTGGCCCAAAAGGCAACAGGCTGCCCTGGAACTTCTCCAGGCAGAGGCTACATTATAATGAGCATTCCTTTAGGTATGGGTTAGATGAGACAGCTTCTGTGGTCCCCTCCAAATCTCCAGTTCTACGATGTGATCTCGGTAGGGCCCTGGGAATCACCTGAGGTGATCAAGGAACCGTGAGAGCAGCTGAAACAGTTAGCTAACTAGCTAGAGTATGTATTACTATGTGCCAGGCAATGAACTAAGTGCTAGGATACGAGAAAAGCCTACCAGCTAAGTCGGTGTCCTCCAGAAACTTGCATTCTAATGGAGAGACACAACACATACATAAAGGGGTGCCAGATCACTAAGGGAGGGAATCAGTCTCAGGAAAGAGCCTTTGGGGACACTCAAGCTTAGGAGTGGGAGACGGAGAAGGCATAGCAAGATTGGCAGAAACATTTTCCTCCCTCAAAGGACATTAAGAAGGTCCATCTAGAGAACCAGCAGGAAAACCTGTCCTGTAAGCAAGGGAGGAGGGAGCATCCAGAGCATCAAAATCTGCATTAGATGAAGACTGAGAAAAGACACTGGATTAAGCAATTAAGAGATTAATGACCACCTTGGAGAAAATTGCCATCAAAGGTTGGTTGGTTCAGATGACAGACTGCATCTTATTTAAAAAGTTGTGAGAACGGAAAGCAGTAAAAGAAGGCTACTCTTTCCAGGGTCCAACAGGGCAAGGCAGGAGAAAGAGAGGACTTTCTAAAGGTTTTAAATTGTTTTTAAATGTGGATCTTCTAATTTCCAACTCAATGGCTCTTTATTAAGCACCTGAGAGCAAGGCACTCCTCTGGGTAGTCCAGAAATGATTCCTCTACTCAGATACCTTACTTCCGGAAACCTGAAGAGTGAGGTCAAGTTATACACCATCTTATCTTTAGTAAAGCTTTAATCATTCATCATGAGGTAAAACAAATGTGTCAGAACCAGTTTTTGGATGTTGTAGACACCATGGAATCTTGTTAATTCTCCCGACTTTAGTATTTTCAATGGCTTTCAGAAGGGAGTACCAGTTCACAAAGTGAAAGTCTATGAGTTATCCTAATTGAGGACCTCTCCACACTTCGTATTGGAAGCTTGAAGTTCAACGTCGTCGGTAGAGCTCTCTAGGTGGAGAGGTCACCATGCCATCATACTGACACAGGCATCAAGGCAAAGCACAAAAAATGAAACAGATTTGGAGACTTTTCTGTAAATGCAACAGGATAACTCTGCATGTGTAACTCCTTGAAAAAAGGGAGCCAGAGGCCAAGGACCACTTGGCAGCTTTGGGGACAAGAGGACCTTTAAGTCTGGGGCTAGTTGAGGAACTGAAAGACTCGGGTAAAATGCCAACTCCCAGGCTTCTCCTGGCACCTACCCAGGCACCCTGAATCCTGATCCCTTTTCCAGATCATATATATATATACACATATATATATAAAATATGGGGGGGGGGGAGAAGAGAAGTTTGTGACTAATGCCTGAGCACAGGCCTCACAAAAACCTCAATAAAAATGTTGATCCACACACACAAACACAGATTGGAATGAACCCCAAAGCCGGTGTTCATATGAGGAGGATTTCTCAAAGATCAAGGGTGTTTACTACAAGCATTCAGGTTTCATTTTAAGGTTGAAAGAAGAAATGAGTCCTGGATGTTTTTGCCTAGCTCCCTCCCCTCCTTTACAGACATCTAGGACTAAAAATAGTTTGATGCCCAGACAGCTGGAGAGGCAACTCCTGATTATCTGTAGCTCTTCTGAGCTGGGGGTAAATGGGATCTGAAGGTGACTGTCCAAGACCCAAAGATCGAGTCGTGTTGGCTATACACAGCCTTTTAGCGTCCCGGGGAATGAGCTAGCAGATATGGCACATCTGGGGCGGGGTCACAGAAAGAAGAGCGGAGACTAGTGTACTATATCATGTTTACCTAGATCTGAATTATGTCTCTTTTATTATGTTATGTCTCTTTTATCGCCTATAGCACTTTGCACATATTAGGCTCTCCAATAACAGTTTTAACAGCCAGAGGTGCCCAAGTAAATGTGTCGTGGGTACGGAATAATCACTCTAAGTACGGTACCTGAAATAATGACCTCTAAATTATGTCCAGTGAAATGTATCAACAATCTTGAAACAGACAGCGATCCTTTCATCAAACTGATGACAGCACATGACCCACTGCTAATTAGTCAGGAAATCAAAGGGGGCACGGTGGGGAGGATAATGTAGGTCGTGCCAGTGAACTTCCAGTAAAGCAGATCAGAAGCTTAACAGAAATAAGAAGCGTACTTTCACCCAGAAAAGGACCCGGCTGTTTTCCTCCGGCCCCAGGAGAAGCAAAGCCAAATCTGCCTCATGCAAGGTGACTTGTTCAAAAGTGCACGTAGTCTGGGTTGAGCAGCAGAACCGAACACACACGATCCGAATAAATATTTACCGATCGATGATGAAAGGAAAGCAACGCCCCACACCAAAGCGAACCTCCAGAACACGCCCTGCCGACGTAGTACAAGAACTTCGGAAATGAACACAACCGATTTTAAAGGAGAAGGGGCAGATTCATTTCTCCGGGGGTGAAGCCTCGGACCCGTACGTGGTTGGCAGCATTGGCTCAAGCCACCCGAGGCCAGGTCCGGGTGGGGCCGCCCGCAGAGGTCTCAGTTCGGACCCACCCCCTCCCCCACGACGTGGCCAGGAACGCTGACCGGTCACAGACCTCCGAGCTGCCGGGTGGGCGTCCCCGGGACCCCCAGCAGGGCAGGAGGCCAGGGGAGGCAAGTTTGCCGCAGTCCCCCCCGCCCCGGCTCGTCCCCCGCAAAGTTGGCACGGCCGCCCCCTCCCCCGCAGCCCGGCCGGGCGGCCACGTGTGGGCAGGATCGGCGGCGGGCCGGGCCGGGGGTCCTACCGCAGTATGTTGTCGGCGTAGGTGAGCAGCAGCCGGGAGGCCTCCAGGAAGGTTTCGCGGGGGTTCTGGCAGAGCTCGGACACGGCCCTGGAGAGGGCGGGCGCCGAGGGGCCGAGCGCGGCCGCGGCCGCAGCAGCCATCCCGCTCCCGCTCCGGCTCCGGCTCCGGCTCCTGCTCGGCCCGGACTCCTCTTCCTCTTCCTCCTCCTCCTCCTCCTCCCCCGGCCCCCGCCCCCTGCACTGAGCAGGCGCCCGCCCCGCCCGCCCGCCCGTCGGTCCGCCGGTCCGCCGGGGATGGAGCGAGCCGCGGCCACGCGCGCTCGGCTCCCGGCGGGGACCCTGCGTGGGGAGGGCGCGTTCTGCAGACCCGGCCCCGGGGCGCAGGCCTCGCGTCCCCCGCGCACGGGGCCGGCGTCTCCTGAGCCAAGGCCGAGGGGGGCCCCAGCCGGCCCGCAGCCCCGGGCGGTGGGGCCGCATCCTTGCACGGTCCCCTCGGTCATCCCGTGCCCCCGACGGACGCGACCCCGGACTCGGGAGCGGCCCCGGCGCCGGGGCCGTGACTTTTCATTTTTGCCTCTGCGTGCTCAGCCGGCAGCGTCCCCCACATGACAGCCGTCCTTATTCTCGGGCATCCGAAATGCTGCAGCTTGAGGCTCTGTCTTGTTCTCTTCCTCAGTGCGTGCCTGTACTACCTCCCATGCTTGGAGACCCTCTCCCTTCTCCGTGGAGGAATTCCAGCTCGGCATGTTGCTTCAGCAGCCTTTTCCATCTTTCAAATCGTTTTTGTGGGCCCCTAACATTATCAAAGCCGGGTTTTGATCACTGAGAGACTCGTCCCTCTCAGTAAACTCCAGGGCGGCCTGTTATCTCAAGGATCAAATACACATTCTAATTTTTGGCATTTAAAATTCCTCACAGCTGAGACCCAAACCCTTCTAGTATCATATACATACATTCCTCCCCATTCACAGCTCTAGTTCAGCCCAACCGGGCTTCTTTTGCTCATACATGACATTCCTTGACCTCTTTCTACCTTCACACTGGCTGACCCCTCTGTCTGGGATGCACTTCCTCCTCATCTCTGCTCTGACATCCCTAATTATATTCACAGCTAAGCTCAAGTACCACCTCCTACAGGAGGCCTTCCTGATCCCTCCAAGCTGATAGTGCCCCCCTTCCCAAGTCTCTATTCTGTATGAACACGTACATATATGTGTGTGTTGTCTGCCTGAGAGGATGTGAGGAGGTAGGAACTCCTTCATTTTTGCCTCCATCTCTCTAATTAGGTTCATGGTTAGATGGGCAGCTTGCTATGTCTTTTTCTTCTCCCTTCCATCTTGAACCCCTGACTGGGTAAGACAAGTACTTCTAATGCTGTAAGACTGTACAGAGAAGCTGTTCTCTGGTCCCAGTCTTAAAGCCCAGATGAGAAAATGACAAAAGTGACCTGGCTGATGACTATGGTGAAAAAGCCTTGGTTCTGGTATGAGTAAATGACCTTGTCATTGATCATCCATGAGATCTCCTCTATTAAATGAAGGATTTGGACTAGGCAGTTTCGGAGAGCCTTCCTGGATCTAAATCTGTAAACAATCTGTGTAGGCCATATAGAACATATATACGAATATGTATGTATATATGCATATATAGTACATTATACACATACACATCCCTTATAACTTTCCTGATTTGATCCATTTCCAAGGTAAGGAATTCAGAAAGTCCTCTCTCCAACCATATCCATGATGCTTTGCTCCTCCTAAACCTATTTCTGATCTTCATTGTGGAGTAGGAACAGCAAAGTCCTCTTTTTCCCCCAGAGCAGTGAGGCCCCATCTTTTCCCTGTATGTTGATCAGGCAACCCTTTCCCCTGTATTTTTAGCCCTCTCCCCCATGTGCTGAATAGGCAACCTCAGCACTGTGTAGCCCACCCTATCACCAGTGACCTTAAGGTCAAGGGACTTTCCCAAGACCACACAAGTGCAATAGCAGACCTCAATGCCTGATAGTAACTTATGTGATGTCAAAGTCCCCATTTACATCTTATGAATATGGTGGTTAAGGGACTCATTAGCTATTTCAAGATAGTCACTGGAAAGATCCAGTACAGCGCAGGTACAAGTCTCTTTTTGCTTGCATAGCACAAAGATTATGCCATAGCAAATTTCCCCAAGTTACTCCCCCTTCAGCTCTGTTATAAGCAAGTCCCCATTCCCCTTCCACCCAGCCAACCAGGATCCTGAGCTACTAGGTTCCCTTTGCTTTTACGACAATAAAGCCTGGCTTGGAAGGACTCTGGCCCTGGTATTCTTACTGACTCTGAACCAGCTTTCCCACTGCAATTGTACCCACCATTTCTCGCCTCTTAGACTTCGCTTTCCTACCTTCCAAAAATCAATTCTAGAATTCACCTGTTTGCCTTCACTCTGTCTCTCAATCAAATCCTTAGTCTCCTTATCACCACCATGCCCCAGTACAGGAATATGTGCCACCATCCTTTGCTGGGTCACCATTCAGGCCTTGCTCCCTAATTGTAGATACTCTGTTCTGTGTCCTCTTTTCTTCTTTCTCTATGCCCTCTAACCCTTTCATCAGCTGGCATGGGTTCAATTATCCTCTAAATGCAGGTGACTCTCGAATCTATATTGGCCAGCTCTCATCTCTTTCCTGAGCTCCAATCCTCCATCAACAATTGACCCTTGACCTAGGTGTTATGTAGGTATATCAAACTAAACATGACCCAAACAGAACTCAATTTTTCTCCTGGAACTGACCCCTCTTCTTAATTCTTCTATTTCTGCCGAAAGCACCACCATCTTTCCAGTCACCCAGGTTCACACTCTGAGTCATGCTCAACTCTTTACTCTTCTCCATTCCTGATATTCAGCTAGTGGCTAAGTCTTACAACATTTCCAACATTTGGCTTCTTCTCCCCACTTACCCAACTACATTTCTTTTCACCTTTCACCTTGATCATTGTAATAGCCTTCTAATCTAGTATCTCTCCTCTCTAGTTTGTCCTTCCCAGACCTGACAAAGCCATATTCCTTTTTTTTTCTTCTTTTTCTTTCTTTCTTTCTTTTTTTTTTTGGCTAGAAAATGGGGTTAAGTGACTTGCCCAGGGTCACACAGCTAGTAAGTGTTATGTGTCTGAGGCTGGATTTGAACTCAGGTCCTCCTGAATCCAGGGCCAGTGCTCTATCCACTGTGCCAAAGTGCGGGATAGCTGCCCCCAAAGTGACATCCTAAAGCACATGCTTGACCTTGTCAGCAAAAAAAAAAAAAAAAGCTCCAATGACACCCTATTGCTGATAAGATAAAATACTAGCACCCCTATAATTCAAAGTCTTTCACATTCTCCATCTAGACCACTTGACATCAAGGTGAATTGCGGAAAGGGCACTGGACTTGGAACCACGAAGACCTGAATTTGAATCCTCCTTCAGACACTGGAGCATGTCACTTAACTTTTCTGTGCTTCAGTTCCTCATCTGAAAAATGGTGTTGATGATTTCTAAAAATAGACAGCCTCCAAAATCCTTTCTAGCTCTAAATCTATGATTCCATGATACCCTACCAGGCACATGACTGTAGTTGCACAGGGGTCCCCTCCCCTACTGAACTACATTCCTTCCTCACTTCTACTTCTTAGAATCCATAATTACTTTCAAAGGTGAGCTAGAGAGGGCTCCCTTCGTGAAGCCTTTTCTGTCCCCCTCCCAGCTGCAAGTGCTTCCCCAAATGACTATGTACATATTTTATATTTCTTTTGTGTGCATTTGATTTCCCCCGATAGATTGTAAGCTTCTGGAGGGCAGGGACTATTTCCTTTTGATCTTTTTATCCTCAGCTCTTTGCAGAATGCCTGGCACACAGTAGTCACTTGTTGATTAAATAATTCCCATGCTAAATCCCTAGTCTGATGTATAGTTGTCTACTTCTTATGTCTTTATAATCTTTTCTTTAGCTCGAAAGGACTTAATAACTAATTGGTTTGTCATTTCCGATTACATTCAGGAAACTTCTCTCCTCAATGTGTGCTCCTTAGGTTTTGTCCCTGAACTTTTTACCTCCTTTCCCAGTGCCTTTTTTTTGGTGATTATATGGTCCAAGAACCACGGATAATGGTTAGGTTGATGTTGGAATCTGGAACCTGGGTTCAAATCTTGCCTCTGGTACATACTAGCTATGTGAAAATGGCTAAATCAATTAACCTCTTAGTGCCCCAGGCAATTGCAAAACTACAGGTTATGGTGGCTGATTTGCACAGGTGGAAAGTTTCCCTGATGGGAGTTCTTCCATGTTTACAGTTCTGGATCCTCCCCCACCAGCCAAACCCCAAACAAAACACAAAACCCCATAAAACCTGACCCTATGCCACATATATGTAATGAATAAAAATTAATGATAACTACCTTTCTTTCTACCTCATATTCTTTCTCCTTCTTTCAGCATCACCTCTTAATCTGTCAATGGTATTATTCAGCTTGAGAAAAGAGGCTTAACATGATGAATATTCTGTATTTTTGTGTTGCCCTCCCAACTCTCCCACCTCTTCACTTCCCTATTGACATTGTTGTATATGTATGATTTTAAGCATCTTCCTAGTCAGAAACTGTGGAATCTTCTAAATTTTTACTCTGTTACTTCTGTATGAAATGGAAAAGAATGTAAGTTCAAAAAGACTATGCCAACAGAGTCCTACTAAATGCTAAATCCTACTGAGTCAGAAAGATTTAAGTATGAGTAGGCAATAGACTATATCACTTGAGGACCAGCCTAGCTACATCTGGAGATATTCGTTACCAGAAGGTTGGCCATCAAGCAATGAATTACCAGTCCACAGCAACTCACATTAGCTTTCTCTCAGGGTCCAGAGGGGTTTTGATCTCCCTCTGTGGAGGGAGTACCTATAATGATGGACTTACGGCTTTCTTGCATATGTATTGTGTTCATCTAGATGTATCTTTCCTCTTACAGTATCAACTCTTTAGCACAGAAACCTTTATTTTTGAGTGT